GGAATTTAGAATGATCTACAGTAATAACCTGTAGGCAATGATTTTATTGACTAGAGGATTTATCCAAGTCAGTAAAGGAGCAAAATATCATTTTCTAAGTTGTATCTAAAGAAATAGTTTTTCGACGATGGGTGAATTAGTAAGTGAAAGTCAAAATAATTTATAAATATCTGATATATATACAATAAAGACAAGCCATGCTGACCTGACTGCAGGTTAAATATATATATATTGAGCAATATATTTTATTGTGATACATTAAAAAATATTATATTTTTAAACAACAAAGTCTATTTTATATTATATTAATTTCTATATAACTCCATTAACAATTGTTCTTTACTATATCCAAAAGTAATTGTTTAATCAGTTTAAATAGCTTTCTCTTAAGTTTGTCTTTTTCTATAACCAAATAAACAAAAAATTTTAAGAAAAGAAAAACAAATTCTTTTTCCAGATAATCCTATAGATTGGCAAATATCTATAGATCAATAAGTTGTATCTATATTCACTATTAGATCTATGAAAATAAAAGTTCAAGTAATAGATTGGAAAGTTACTCTGATCAGACAAGCTATTAAATTAAAGGAACATAAAAAAAAACTCATAAATATTCTAAGATACAATAAAATGCAAATAAACAATCACTTCGTTTTTTATACAGATGGTTCCTTTAAAAAATAGGCTAAAAATAGTAAACTAGAGATGAGCTTTATATAGATTCTATTAGAAAATGATAGAATAACTAAGCAATTCTCAGCAGGGATATCAATATAATAATTATCAATAAGATTAAAGATACTAGTTATTCTTACTGCACTATATATAGTCCTTCAAAGTATAATAGTCTTAATCAATACAGATTGTAGTACAACAGTCAAGATATGGAAGTCTATATATTCACAAGCAGACATATCAATTAGAAAATGGACTGAAAATATCAACTGGCCACTATGAAACAGAATCAAGAATTTAGTAATAAAGAAAGATCTCATCCTGAATATCATAAAGGTCAAGGCATATGATATATATTTATAATCATTTATTGTTCAATCTTTAAAATATAATTCAAATTTATTAATTTTTATTATATCACGACTTTATTATCTGGTGCCCCAAATCCAAAGATTCGAGCTGGTCAATGATATCAGTAAGAAAAAACCATAGTAAGAGTTTGAAAAATTGAAATAACCGTATTTCAAAGTTCCTCCCAAAAAACTTATTTTTTTTTTCTAACAAGATTAACTTTTCTAAACCTATTAATCAAAGTTACTTATTTGCTTGGATTAATTTCCCCGAGGAATATTTGTCGGTCGGTGCTGCATGAAGCAACTATTTAAAATAAAAAGATATTGCAAATTAATATATTAAAAAAAAATATTAAAACCCCCCCCGTATTACATAACGTTCCAATAAAACATTTAACTTACTGATAGGTTCCTTCGGATGAAAATCTATTTCATTGACAGATCCTTTATGCCCAGGAAGTTTATAGATGATCATGCGAGTATCTACATCCCAAATGACTACTGTTCGATCGCTACTTCCTGCCGCTACTTGTGATCCATCAGCCGACCATGCCGGCTTAATGAGATTTTTTTCAAATCCGTGCGGTGCACCTTTTGATATTTCATTTGATAAATTCTTAATCAACACTGTTAATACAACATAAAGAAATCGAACTATTACCTTCAAATATCTTGATCAATCTGTTTCCAGGTGAGAATGGTTTCACGTCCCAAATTCGTACTTATATAAATATGTTATTAGTTGATTACTCAAAAGGATAAATTTTCTAACACGTAAATACACACCGGTGTCGTCCATCGCATTAGACAATAAATATGATCCATCTGGGCTCAATTTTATACCAGAAACAATATCTTGATGTCCTTTAAGAATGTAGGAGATTCCTTTCTTCCTCAAATCCCATGCCTGATGAAGGATTTCCATTCAAGATCAAATTCCAAGAAATGATCGCAAAAGCTACCCATAAAAGCTACCCACAAAAGCTACCCATAAAAACTTACCGAAATATCGCTGTCCAGACAACCCGCAAAGATCATATCTCCAGCTTCACTGAAACATGTCGCCGTAATTTGATACTGATTGCTGAATGTTTCTACAGCATCCTTCTGACGTAGATCCCATATCTATAATGCAGAGAAATAACAATTCGTGAAAACCAAATACCTCAAAGAAAGATTATAATAATATATTAGAAAGCGTCCTCTTACTACCTTAATCGTTCCATCATCACTACCACTAACCAAAATCTCATTTCCCCTACGCGCAGCACACACAGTGTTGACAAATGCAGTGTGCCCTTTAAACTTTTTTATCCTTGTGCCGGTAGTTGCATCCCACACGCCAACAGTTTTGTCTGTGGAGCATGAAAAAATCTTACTATCGAAATATTGTAATATTGTATATACAGTGTATTAAGAAAATGTCCGTGTTCCATTGCAAATTCGAAGGTATCAACAAAATACCTAGAGTCCCGTGACCATTGTAATTCCATGATGGGTCCATTATGTCCTTTCAAAAGGCCATAGTTGAGACAGTCACCGTAGGTATTCCATAATACTAATAATATTTGATAAGTTAGAGAGTTAACGATTATATATTATCGACAAAACCTCGTCATTCAAAATTTAATTAATCCTACATATGTTTCTGTCGAATGATCCGGAAGCAATGTGTTGCCCCGACGGATCGAACCTGACCGTGAATATCTCTCCCTAAAGAAAATAGCCAAATTTAGATCCGAGGCGAAATCTTTTATTTACTTCTGAACTTTTGTGAATCAAGATAACAACCTCACACCTGATGTCCACTGAGAAGCATTATGGGTGACTGAAGCCCGGATGTGCGTTTAATCTATTTTATACATGGAATAGTTGAAGTAAATCTGAGTGCGCTAAAGAAACTAGAAACTCCAGGAAACTTCGTCCAAGACACAAACTGTTTGTATCATAGTGCCACTGGCACCCGAGCTTGTGACCAGGGCATTGCTCGTTTGCTCCGACTTTTGCTTTTTAATTAATTGTCCACTATGTTGTGGAAGCGAGGGTTCCTTTCGTTTGTCTGCCATTGCTCAGGGAGATACATGAATACCCACGACGATCAATTGATTTATTACTTATTATTGACCAATAAGATTATCAAGATTCTTCACATGACTATTAAACTACTCATATTTTATTGAACGTTCATTTGGAATTTTTCACGGAAGACGATAATCAAGATTTTGACGATCCTATTGGTAGCAGTAAATCTGACCCAAAATCTTACAAATGTTTCTTCGGTTCAAGAACAATACAAGGGGAGAGTAGAATATCACACGGTTCTTGAATACGGTGAGGTATATGATAACATGAAAACGTCGAAGGGAAGAACAAAGGAAAAACGAGGACTACAAAGAATCCGGTACAAAAAAGATATGAATTCGAAGGAAAGGAAACTTTGGTAACTTTGAGTTGTTTATCCATCGAATATCACCTGTTGACATAGATATAATAAATTTTTCTTAAAGCATGAACAGGTGTAGATTTAACAGGAAGAATTAAACAGCCAAAAGAAGACGAGCTACAGCATTTATTTGCACTTGTAATCGTCTATAGAAACGGAAAACGAAACTTGAACAAAAGACACGGTATCACTTATATATTTGTAAAAAATTTTTGTAACAATCAAAAATTGGAGCCATGGAAATCATTTCATCTTCAAGAAATTGTATCAGAAATTACAAAAGTCATCGAGAAGATTCTATTAATAATCAGGCTAAAGACTAATAAATAGAATTAGAGCAGCTAGTAAAATAGTAGTAAATAATAACGAACAAAAGTAAAAGTAGTTTAGAAGCCAATTTTGCCGGCAGGATTAAACGTCACGAAAAAGGATTTAATTTAGAAAGGGCGACTCATCTCACAATGGGTCTTACAAATATTGCGGTAACGGAAGATATTATTAGAATATAACTTTAGGAATAACGAAGAAAGCGTCATCGTGAAAGGCAACGCCAGAATTTGAGAAACAGATTAGAGAAAAACAAAAAAGTTGGGAGAAAAGTCGAGAGAAATAAAATCACCGAGTAATTGGCAAGAAAGAATAGTGAAAAACCAATTCCGATGCAAAATCAGAAATTCAGTTACTTTTTGATCAACGGTTCTATGAAGCATTCGCTAAATAATCTTGTGATTTCGGAGAACTTTATGGATTTCATCCGACAACTGGACTAACTATTGTCAACAAAAATGAAATGGTTTGCAAAAACCAGAGATAGGCTGGCGCTGAAATGCCAGAGTAGTTGGTTAACAAAGAATTTTAGCTCATCGATATTACCGTAAAATCCGGCGAATAGGCATAATATAAACATTTCAATAATAAAGTTTATAATATGCAACTAAAGGCTCATAACTAGCATTTGCTATGCATGTCTTTTATACGGAATGTGAATTCTTGATACTCACTCTGTGATCTGTGTGTGTTCTATTCTCGTAAATTCCAATCATTAAATATATTTATTATTTTTATTAATAAATTTCAATGTTGCGGGACTAATGTATCGCTTTTCAAAATCATTTCACCTTTTCGCAGTGTAATAAGTTCTTTCGACATTCCACCGAGAGAAGACTTTAAACGTTCTTTGGTTAAACTTTTCAAATCTCTAAATTTTTACGTGATTCAGCTCGATCGAAACGAACTCAAACTTTATCTGTTATATTCTAATATACAAATGACGCTCAGTTATTCCTGCAAATAAATTTAACCATAAAAAAATTATATTTAGCCAGTGTGCAATCATACGATATTGAAGAATGCATTCATTCGTTTATTAGTCACCATATTTTCGTTTTCGCCTTAAGTAAAAGAGACAACACACTATATATAATACACGACGCTGTATCCAACACATTCGAAATCATCTCTCAACCAAAGTGGAGAATCATTCTAGATGTTGACGTCAATTTTAACATACCTGGAAGTATAACATTAATCGATTTCAAATAACTGCACCAATCTTTCAAAGCTTTTATCGCATTTGATCCATGAAGAAAACAGTTCTTCACAAGGAGGATAAGGTTATCAGGGACGTTTGTGTTTCTTTTTTTATTACTTCAAGAAGACACCACTGGGAAGTTCAGTATCTTTACTTGCGTGATACCCGTGACATGAAACCAGGTGGGAGTCTTTAAAGTGTCACTCATTCTTTTTATCAATGATTTGGCGTTATCGTGTTACTTTATGATTCAGGACTTTCTCAACTTTTACAGTATTCTTTTGCAAAGATATGCATATCGCACGGTTGCGTGGACACTTTTTAACACTAGGTATTTTTTTTTTTATTAAAATTTTATTTTTATAATGTAAAAAGTTATCATAAACCAATTTATATATTTTCAAAAATATCAAATTTATATTAATTCGAAAATCGTGAAACAAAATCTGTCGATCGTCAATCAAGTGCCCTAAACCCGGTTTTCGGAACTTGAGAACATGTGAATATGTGACACTATTATATGGATTTGCTTTTTAAAAGTGATAGTATCAACATACGTAATGATCTGTTGAATCTTTCCATAAAATCTTCTTTTTGTCATTACGCATCTAAACCGTAAAATGGGTATTCCTGTAATTGTTTCTCAAAAACCAAAACACATCCAAAAGTCATGTAGCTACTGTCAAACCCTGCTCGAGTTTCCAATACCTCCAACACTGAATGAGTCGACAAAATTATCAGTCCAGTGTTACTCTTGCGAAAAAATTTGTAACTTTGACGCAAACCCTGATGCACCCAAAGTCACCACTGCCAACGGTTCAAGGCCTAATTCGAATAATGCAAGTGGTAATAAGAAGCCAAGAAGGCATTTCGGGACAGGTATAAAATGATTAGCTTTATTTGATTAGTCCCCACAAACGTTTATACCTCTTCTCATTTTCTTCTGTAGACAAGGAACCTCTAGAAACTGATCTCTATGAAACACTTGGTGTTTCACCAACTGCCTCTTACAGCGAGATCAAAAAACAATATTATAAACTTGCACTGCAGTTCCACCCCGACAAAAATAAATCACCTGATGCCGAACAAGAAGTACGTCTACGATCAGACTCAAGGTGTCAAAAATCAGTTGTTTATTGATTTTTTTTTTTTTTTTTTTTTTTTTTTTTTTTGGCTTTTTTATATTAGTTCAAAAGAATATCGGATGCATATCAAATACTGTCAAACCCCGAATTGAGGAGAAAGTATAATGAGTTTGGTGATAAAAATAATGTCGAACCGGAAGGAGGTTTTGGTAAATAATCATTGTCATAACATGCGTATTTTTCAGAATGGATAGTTTCATAGTAATTATCGAATCTAATACTATTCCAAACATCTAGTGAACCCGGAAGATTTCTTTAAACAACAGTTTGGTGGCGATCGCTTTGTCGATATAATTGGAGAGATATCAATTGGTAGGGATATGAAAGAGGTTTTGCAAAACGCAGCAGCGGAAGAAGACGGAGAAATGACAGAAGAAGATAAATTACGAAGAGAATCAAATAAAATGAATGAGGAGGAGCGCGAGAAAGTTCGAAAACAACGTATCGATAAATTGACATCAAACCTAATAAACAAACTGTCAATGTATGTTGAAGGAGCTTCCGCGGAAGAGTTTAAGCCCTATATTGAATTTGAAGCAGAGGAGCTCAAGGCTGAGTCCTATGGTGTAGAACTATTGCACGCCATCGGTTTTACCTATTCCCTGAAAGCAAAGCAGTATTTAGGTTCCGAACAGATTTTTGGTCTACCACGGTTCGGTCATATTCTTAGGGAGAAGGGTCATGTGTTTACCGAAACTATTTCGACCTTGCGATCAGCAATCGATTTACAGCAATCTTTCAAGGAGTTGCAAAAAGCTGAGCAAGGAGGATTGGATGCACAAGAGAAAAGTAAATTGGAAGAGGCAACGGCAACCAAGGTTAATACTATATAAAAATACGTGTTATCCCGTACATTTCCCCATACTTAATTTGGTTTTATTCTCACACACCCATATGCATACAGGGATTGACAGCTCTATGGAAGGGTTCAAAGCTCGAGGTAGAGAGCGTTTTGAGAGAAGTATGTGACCGCGTATTGTCCGACCAAACTGTATCAAAATCTGTCGCACGTAGACGTGCCGAAGGTTTGAAAATTATTGGCACAGTATACGAGAATGTTAAGGGTGATAACGAGGCATAGAAAATGTTTAGGCTAAATTGTAAAAATAATGGACGGGTCATAAAGGAAAAAAAGAATTATATATATTTTTTTCATTGTTTAATTTGTACATGGCGTTTCACATTTTGACATTATTAATGATACTTTTAGGAGATTATCTGTTTAATTAGTACATTCATTCGTATACAACAATGTTTCTATTTAAGTTATGCGTAAGATTATTCGATTTAAAAAAAAAATAACTGGAAAAATTTTTGATAATGAATTTCTGTATTACTACTTCAGTACTGATTAGTTTTAATGACGGATTTTTATTAAAACTTCTCTTATTAACATCACAAGATATAGTATATACCTTTGAATAATTTTTCTCGAGTTAATGTCAAAGACGTACGTACATTCGATGCGATTTTAAAGCATTGATGTTTGTTGAAATTTATACTACCCGGAGTCTAAAGTATGTTTATATAATATGATTACAAGTTTTAAAAAACAATATACCATTCATTATAATGAATTTCAATGTCAAGTTTCATTATTTTAATTATACTACACAAGCTTGTAGTATATGGATTTTCAAATATATATACTGTATATATTTTTTTAATTCTTTTTTTTTATTATACTTTATTAGGTTAGTCATACTGTATATATTTTATTAAACAATCTATAAACTATACATATATTATGTATCACTAAAGCTAAAACTCTAACTTACTCACCCATCTTCATTAATTTAACTCTAAATGCAACTTTGGGAGTAATTTATTACTTTATTAATAGTTCAGATAAAAACCCTTCCTACAGGACATTACTATAAATTATTCAATAAGTTCTGACAATAATTAAAATCCAACCATTTTATTTCATATTTTATTCCTTTTATTAGGACTTCCTTTATTTTAGGTTTTCTTTTCATATTCTATTACTTTGATTCTCATAACTTTGATTTTTCTTGAATAATAAATTCAATAGTCTTTTTATTTTATCTTTTCTATTGATCTCTTGAACTTTCTTTTATTTGATTCTTTTCTCATATCTCAAGTTCTAGATCCTTTTCAAATATAAATGCAAATCTTTCTTTATATTTTTATTATCTATTTTTTGACTACCTTTTCAATTTATTTTTCTTGACACTTCAGTTTTATTATTTCTTTTAATGAACCTTTTCTTATTAAACCTGTATAAAAGCTAAGTATTTCTTGATTAGTTTCTGAAGTTCATTCTACTAGCTTGATTATTTTTATATCTAACTTTTGTATCTATTCTCTTTCTTTTGTAATTAATTGTATTTCTTTTTCTTCTACTTCATTTTTTCTTTTTTGAAAAAGCTTTTTAAATTCTTTGAGAGTTATTTTTATTCCCTTGTTTTAAGCCTCTTACAGTTGATCTTTATAAGCTGGACACTCTAGCAAATATTCTATTGTTTTTTCTTGTTGTTTATATATAATATATTGTATTTGCTTATATAGATCTGATTTTCTTATAAATAAATTACTTAAAATTAATAGCTCATCATTTATCAATTTGACAAGAAAGCTTTTTTTAAAAATTCTTAAAAAGAAATATTCTATATAAGTCTATTCTTTATTTTTTTTTTATATCAGATTCCACGTATAAACTTATTAGTTTTGAATTTATTGATTTTATTTTCTTTCTAATTTATTTTGTTTTTATTCATTAATAGACTATTGTCTTATTATTCACTTTCTTAATAAACTATCTTATAAGATCCTCTATTATTATATTTTACTGCTTAATTTTTATAATAATTATATAGAATACAAGATTCTTTTATTCCATTACAGATAGTTTTAAAGCTTATTTACTGAGAATATTAACTTCCTCCTTATAAAAATTATTAGAATAGATTTTAATCTTTATTATTTCTAGATATAAATTCTTTTTTTTTATTATATTTAATATTTATGCTTATAAGGATTAGTTCTTTTATTTTAACTATCTCTTATACTATATATATATTTTAAATCTTTTTTTTTTTAGTATTTTCTATTTGAAAATATAGGCTTGCTTAACTATCTATAAATATTTCAATTTTGTTATCTATTGAAACTATTAAAAATATTATAATTATTATCACTAGTTCAACTCTTGTGAATAAGGATTAACTATTTACTCTTATTTAAAATTTGTTTTTTTTTTCTGTATTTCCAATTTGAATCTATGCTACTTATATTTTTATATTTTCATTTCCATAATTAATAAGTGATTTATCAGAATAAAATATGAATTTTTCATTATATCTTAAATTTCTTTATAATATTTCAATTAGTTAATTCTAATATATTCTTTCTTTAATATTATATCTAATAATCCTTTCTTTCCAATTTTCAATTTCTATATAACTTATTTTATTATTTTGAATGAAAATATTATTTCTATAAATTATATTAATAATAGATTTTTCTATTGAAGTCTTAGAACTTGAGATTATAAGTACTTGAGCTCTTCTAATCAATTTTCTTATATTAAAATATGAAACCATATATATTTTATCCTTATATATTTCTATTTTATAACTATTTAAATAATTATTTTCTTTTAAGTATCCTAGATATCTTGTAAGCATTGTCTTCTACTTATTTCTAATTTTTTAAGAACTATAATATTTGATTATAGCTTTTCTATAAAGATTTACTTATATTATTTTTTCTCAAGTTATCTTTTTTTTTTTTTTTTTAACCCACAGTCAGGTCAGCATATCATGTCTTTATTGTATATATGCTAAATATTTACAAATTATTGTGGCTTTCACATACTGACTCACTCATCGTCGAAAAACTATTTCTCTAAATGCAACCTAGAAAATGATATTTCACTCCTTTACTAATTTGGATAAATC